GAGGCGGGACGGACACTTATGCCAGCCAATGGGAGGCGCGCAGGGTCCGCCCGCACCCCCCTCCTTTGTAAAAGCTTCATTGACAGAGGCCGAGAGTGGTACTCGTTTTTCGGGTTGGAGGTTCCCTTGACTTTTGGAAGTGGGGTGGGGGTCCCCACCTCGCCTGTCTCCTAACCGTGTTCGTTAAGGCAGAAGGGAAAGAGGCCCTTGAAGAACACTCACGAGAACACCAAAGGAACTAAGGGGTCTGCGCGACTCCTGCAAGTTTCTTTTCTCTCGGTCCAGTAGACGTGAACCCTAACTTGGGGCTTGTGAAAGGTGGAGTACATTCCTGTGTGCATGAACTGCTGACAAAAAAAAAACAAGAAGAGGGTACAACTGACCAGGTATCCTTGTGTGCTTGTCCCGCTGACCGGGCACCACGACAGCTTCCACACTCCTGAGTCCAGCCTACAGGGCACCTCTCAAATATCTCTATCTGGGGCCCAAAGGAACTAAGGGGTCCCTAACTTGGGGCTTGTGAAAGGTGGAGTACATTCCTGTGTGCATGAACTGCTGACAAAAAAAAAGCAAGAAGAGGGTACAACTGACCAGGTATCCTTGTGTGCTTGCCCCGCTCACCGGGCACCCCGACAGCTTCCACACTCCTGAGTCCAGCCTACAGGGCACCTCTCAAATATCTCTATCTGGGGATGATGATGGTACCTGCCACACAGGGTCATTGAAGGATAAATGGATTTCTATATATAAACGTTCCTGTCATTTAGTGTGCTTATTATTGTCATTATTGTTAACAGGGTTTTCTTCAATGTAACAAAGTAACAAAATGTTTAGTTGAGAAGAGCTGAAGCCGTGCAGTGGAAGAAAATATACATATGTATATGAGTATATGAGCGGGTCTGGAGGTCACGTCCTATCCATCTCCATCAGGATATTAGTAAAGCCCTTTGTCAGCAATAGGTAGCTCAGTATGCTGGATGACTGGTTCCTGGTTAGGGTCCTAAGTCCCCTTTTGTTCTAAATTTCCCAGACAGTTACTTCTAGGCTGGCATACATTGTTCACTTACTTGTACAAGAGCAGATGTGCTTCTATTAATAATAGCTACCATTTAAAGAGGCCTACAATTAGAGACTGGCATTTTGCGAACATGTTTCATCTCTAATCCCTACAACATTACAAAATACGTTGTGTCCCACTTTACAGATGAAGAAACTGAGGCTGACAGATAATGGTTTTAGGTTCTGGTGAATGACACTGCTCTTTTTATTGCACCATTCTAATGCCTCACTAAAGAAAGCTGAACAACAAGCAAAGATGAAACAAGAATGAAAAGAAAGAATACAAAGAAAGAGGGGACTGGGGGGGAAAATGCTTCCTAAAGTTGTTTAAGGCATCAGACGCTTGTGCCCATTCTCTAAGGTGAATGTAATTTATATCGAAGAATTTGTTGAAGAATTTTTATTGAAGAGTTTGTTCTGGGCTCTCTTACAATGAAATCTCCTCTCATAAAACTGTAATTTGTACATACAGAACACCTTCTATCCTCCTTTCCCAGCTTTATTTTTCTACAGCACTTATCCCCTCTTAACATTCTATATATTTTACACTTTATTGTGCTTATAGTCTGCCTACACACACACTGACTAATGTGTGCTCCATGTAATCTTCATGCAGGCAGAGATTTTTTTGTCTGTTTTGTTTGCTGTTATATCCCAGCACCAGCAAGAGTTCCTCAGGGCATGTATTCATTGAATGAATGCATGAGCCAGGTACAACATCCGTTCTTTTTTAGTCAGAAGAGCATCCGGGGTGACAGCTGAGGATATGAACAAAGCAGTAACAAGAGCAAAGACCCTGAGTGCCAGAGTTGAAAGTGCTAAATAGTCAACCTCAAGAAGGGCTTAAAAATATATGCTCAACAGACCTTGCTAAACAAGGAGTTTCTCTTCATCCATCTTGCAAGAAGAGAAAAAAAATGTCCCCTTGGTTTACTTAACTCGCAAATAGTTTTTGACTGACTTCTGTGTTGCCATGCGCTTTTTCCACTCATCACTTCACCCCAGCTGCTAGAAGAATAATGTAGGTCTGAATTACAGAATTTATAACTCTCAGTTGCCCACTGCATTCAAGCTCAAGCAAAGTTCATCCTGAGGTGACAATGTACTGAGTAAGGAAAATTTGCTTTTATGCAAATGGAGGTGGCTACCAGGTGTTCCAAGGTGCTGAAAGGCAAATTGTTCTCTAGGTATTTTAAGCATTCACCTGAAATGTAACGCAGGGAAACATTTGCTAAACAAAGGTGAATGTGAACCTAAATTCATCACTAATGACATGACTGTGGCACCTAATATTAATGAGTTTTAGCTGTATCCTAAATTCAGGCCACTTCCTGGATTTCTGGAACAGCAGGTAATCCTAGCAGGGACTTGGATACAACCCCTTGCCAGATCTTAATCATGAGGAGTGAACAAACTTCCAGAGAACAGTTGTCTATGAGCCAGGGCATATTTTGTAAAACAAATAGCAGCTATCTTTGTCATTTGGAAAAGCCTGAAACTATTCCTAACCTTTAGCAGACGATCCTTTGACAATTATGTGTATCTTCGTTGCCTCTTCTTGGTCATAACTGAAATTTAAATGTTTCCAGTGATCTGATCTTATAAGGAAAAGTAAAATCCTGGGAACAGTGTTTTCAAGAGCATAGGGCAGCCTCAATAGGGGAAAGACAAAGGAAAATGATCTAAACAATCATTATTCTTTACTTCTGTAGGCTAGGCATACAGATAGATTTTCAGAAAGTGAATAAATAAAAACAAAAACAGACCTGGTCCCTGGTCTCATGGAGTTCAGAATGGAAGACACCGGTATATAAACAAATGTCAACAGTGTCGTGTTTGCAGCTCTGACAGTCCTGGGAACCTCAATGAAAGAGACAAGGATGGATGTAGCTGGGAGTGGAAGGGGATGGGGCTGCCCCCTGTATGGGAAGAGGATGTACATGAAGGTGTATAGAAAAACTACAGAGAAATACGGTAGATTTAAATTGATTATGAATGCTGATGGTATATGTGATATAATATGATATTTATTTGGTCTTTGTCCCCAGTTCCCAACATAGAGCTCCTAAAACCTTTATAACTTCCTGAGGGGTAGGAGTGTCTTTTGTTATCCAGAATGAGCCCGTTTGCTAACTTTTGAGTTTAAGCTAATGAGTTACACTAATGAGTTTGCTCTGATGAGATTACTTAGGGTCGGGCCCCTAGATAGACTTAGGAAGGGGTCAGTTGCCAGAAAGACTAAGTAGTAGGATTAGAGGGTTGGAACTTTAAGCGGAGGTTGATTCCCTTTGTGCTAGTTGTGTCTAACCCTCCTCATGGGATTGCAATAAAGATTAAATCAGAGCATCAAGCACAGTGTCTACATATAAGAAACACTCAATAAATGTTTATTATCATTATCTGACTGGGAAACCATAAGGTGGGAGATAGGTGGGCTGA